ACCCAGATATTTGATCAAACACCAACCTAGATGTCTCTATGAAAGTATTTCTAAGATAAGATTAACATTTAATATGAAAACAAACATATGGATGTATATGCGTAAGTGGGATTGTGCTGTACATCAGAAATTGACACATTGTAGTTGACTGTACTTCAATTTTTAAAAATTAACATTTTAATCAGTAGACTTTGAATAAAGCTGATTATCCTTCACAATGTGGTGGGCTTTGTCCAATCAGGTGAAGGACTTAAGAGTGAGAAGGGAAAAAAGACTGAGGTCCCGCAGGGAAGAGGGAATTCTGCCCCCAAAATTGCTTCTGGACTCAAGTTGCAATATCAGCTCTTCCCTAGTTCTCCAGGTTGCCGGTTTGCTTTTGTAGATTTTGTACTTGCCAACCCCTACAATTGCACAAGCCAATTCCTTAGTCCATCTCTCTCTCTACACACACACATTCCATTGGTTCTGCTTCTCTGGAGAACCCTGAGGAATACAGGAAGTCAATAGCTAAAGGATAAGAATACCAAGGTAAAGACCAACACAAAGATGTTGAAATGAAGTGATGGACAAAGGGTGCCTCTGGGTGATGGAAAAAGCAGAATGAGACAGAAGACTGCTCCGTGTGTGTGTTTAATTAAAAGTCTTTCTTCCCTATGAACAAGTATCACCTTGGTAAGGAAAACTAATATTCTCTCTCCCTAAAAATAAAGCATCACCAGAAAGAACATATTCAGCCTCTCTTCATTTGCTTCCCTAAACGTGCACAGGGCACATTTAGACAGAATTGTATATCCCCTTTCATTTTCTAACTTCAACACTAGTCAGTACAGTTGCCTACAGAAGTTAACTTTGAGCCACAGCTTTTCAACCTAAATATTTATCATTTCAGCTAAGAATTAGACTCAAAGTAATTAAAAAGTGTTGCTGTCATGCTTAATTTGAGTAGTGCACTTAACATAATTTAAACTATTTTGGTAGTTTTGTCTATAAAAAAAGATTAAAAATGTGTGTTTGATTGTAGATAGACAGTGCAAGGAAAAGAATCGTCTAATTATGTCACCAACTAGTGGCCTCAGTGTGTCAACCTGTGCAGAACTATACTCAGGAGGCCAAAGCTTCCCTCGGCTCTATGACTCTATAATCTCTTAAAATTTATTTTGCTGTCTTGATACTGGCATCTTCGGCAAGCAGATATCAGATTTTCTTGTGCTTTTGTTTTGAATAAGAATATCACTTAAAAACACATTTTATGCAAGTTGTCTTAAGAATACACATCAGGAAACTCAAAACCACTCTTTAAGCTCCAAACACATTCCAGGCTTCTGAGTTTCCACAGCACAAAGAGGCAGGTGTGATGACCCATTTTAAACACAGTCAAAATATTTTGAAAAATAATAATCATCTAAATAACTTCCCTAATTGGTCTGTCAGTGTTATTACTACTATTTTGAGAAAATTAAACAATTAGATGAGCTAAGTGGAATTTTAAAACGCCAAATTCCTACCGTGAGTCTCAAGGTGGCATTTCCTCAATTAGGGAAAAAGGGGTAGAAAAGGCATTTATTCAAGAATTCTTTGGGAGCAGCAATATTGATCATCCCTGCTTCTGGCCTTTGAGATCCTCATCTTTTTTTTTAATGTGTGTGTGTGTGTGTGTGTATATATATATATTTATATATATATTTTTTTTTATTGAAGTGTAGTCAGTTTACTGTGTTGCGTCAGTTTCTGGAGTACAGCATAATGCTTTAGCCATACATAAATATACATGTATTTGTTTTCATATTCTTTTTCACCATAAGTTACTACAAGATATTGAATATAGTTCCCTGTGCTGTACAGTATGAATTTATTGTTCATCTATTTTATATAAATTAGTGAGATCCTTATCTTGTTAATTCTACTTTCCTCACAGTAGAACTGCCCCAAATATACATAGTATCAGAGTTTGTCTTAAGAAGTATCTGTCCTGTTTTTTTCATTTTGAGGGGCTTAGAATGAAAGACTGGAGAATCTGCTAGTTTCTGGTGCAGATGATGAACCATGTAAGAGTTTTGCTCTTCAAAGAGGGCCCAATGATCAGAAACAAGACCATTTTGGTTTCTACATCTTTGCTTATAAAAAGAGCTAAAGATCTCAATGTATGGAATAACCAATATGAAAAATAAATTTTACTGAGAAGAAACAGCAGCTAATATGCATTTGACTGCCAAGAACAGAATTCTTGACTCAGAGTAGATCAACGAGAGGGGCTTACACTTCTCACAGAACGAGGAGTCCAGAGGCAGACAGCGCCAGGGGGTCAGGGGCTGCAGGATGTCAGAGCTTTGTGTCAACCTGATTCCCTTTGATTCTCTTGCTCATGACGGCTGGGTAGCCAGAACAGCTCTGAGTACCTTGTCCTCACACAACATTCAGAGGGAGAAGGGAGGGAAGGGACGCTATTTAACCTTATTCTCTTCTAGTCAGTGAGTGAAATTATTCTCAGAGATTACAGCGGGTAATTCGTTTAAAATGATGTTAGAGAATGAATACGTGTTCCCTGAAGCCGAGGGACCAAGGCCTTTGTACTTTTTTCCCACCCTGACTCCCACTTCTTCTAATTTATCTTTATTGTTATTATTTTCTCTGCTATTGTAGCTTTTTGTCCATTAAATGTTTCGGTGAGAAAAGAAAGAACTGAGAAGTTATCCATATAAGCAAAAAAGAAACACATGCTTATGTGAGCAAAAAAAGTTCAAAGTTCAACATTTTTAACTTAAAAACATTGTAAATGATCCCCCTAAGTCCCAGCAATCTTCCCCCAAAGTGTCACCGGCCACAACACCTTCCTCAAATTGTAAGTGAGACTCAGAAAGTGAGCATCCGGAATTCTCAGTTTCTGAGGGCGGGCTGCACAGGTAAGGGAGAGGAATGGGGCTGAGGTTGTTTATTTCACAACCAGTGGTGTCTGTGAATGTGTGTATCACAAGCTGCTGACTTGCTTGACAAAATGATGAATTTGTGACTAAATAAAGGTGTAACTGAGTAGCACCTGCTGACTGTTGTGTCACCATTGTGCCCTATTATGACCAGAAGGCCTTGAGCACTCGACTTCTCCATCCCTCCACCCTGGGGCACAGCCACATGCCAGATAGCCCCCAAATGGAGCAACTTCTCCAGCTTGAAAAGCACCAGAGAAGAAGCCATTATTCCTGGTCTCATTCATCATCCAGGTCTTCAAATTTCCCTTGCATGGGCTCTGATCAGGATATGAAGCCAAAACACACACGTGCTAAGAACATCATCAGATAATGCCCATCCATGGCTAGGTTCATCTACCCATTCATTCATTCCGCAAATGTCCATGACTTTCTGGCACCATTCTATGCACTGTGGATCCAAACAGAAAACAAGAAGGTCCCTTTTCTAATCGCTCACATTCTAGTGTGAGGAGATAGATAATAAACAAGAAAAGCCATGTGATATGAGGGTAGCTAGATGACAGGAAAGAGCCACCGTGAGAAAATCTGAGGCAAGAGCACTGCAGGCAGAGGGAGCAGCCCTCTAAGGTAGGAATGAGGAATAGAAAACAGACAGGTGTGGCTGCAGCACCATGAGCAAGGGAGAGTGGGAGATGCCGAGATGGGCTCGTTGCACAAAGGGCTTTGCAGGCCGCGGTGCTGGGCTGGGATTTATTCATGGAATAGTACGTCTCCTTGGACAGTTGTAGCCAAGGGAGTGACACAATCAAGTCTTTAAAAAAATTTGTTTTATTTTACTCTTTGGTGGGGAAAGGAGGTAATTAGGTTTATGTTTTTCTTCATTTATTTAATGGAGGTACTGGGGATTGAACCCAAGATGTGCATGCTAAGCACACAGCCTACCATTGAGCCATACCTTCCCCCACTTAAAAATTGTTTTAATTGAAGTATAGTTGCTGTACAATATTATATGTTACAGGTGTATGATATAGTGATTCGCAATTTTTAAAGATTATACTCCATTTATAGTTATTATAAAATATTGGCTGCATTCCCCGTGTTGTACATTACAGCCTTATAGCTTATTTATACCTGATAGTTAAAAGCTCTCTCTGGCTGCTGGGTGCAGGATGGATTCTAATGGGGCAAGTGGTGAAGATGAACAACGAATTAAGAAGCTGTCGCAGGGGAAGATGGTGACGTGGACTGGAGAGTGAGCTGTAAAGGGAGATCAGGAGAGCGAGGGGCCGCCTCTTAGAGCAGAGGCTGCAGGACTGCTGCTGGGCAAAATGGGGTGCTGATGGCAAGGCAGGCTTTGGCCTGACGTCCGCGGCTGGTGGGCCACTGACGGAGATGAGGAAGGCCGGGCTTGGAGGCACTTGTCACTTCAGGTACTCAGCGGTGGCGAGGACAACCGTGGTCTATGCTACCAAAGAAACGTCTCAGAAGGGCGTGGGTCCCGACAAAGAGATGGCTAAAAGAAAGCCTCACGCAGCAGGAAAACACGAGCACAAGTGGAAAGGCGGCTGCCGAATTGGAGCAGGGTTCACGTGGGGAGGATGGGGTTGGAGAGACGTGATGAGACCACACGCAGGCCATTTTTAATTTCATTTAGTAAACGATTCCTCTCATCAGTTCTTGAGCACAGGGTGACCACTGTGCGGCAGTGAGGAGCGTCTGGACGGTGGGCAGCCTCAGGGGAGGGTCCACTGGCCCCTGCCAAGAGGCCTCATGAAGGGGCATTAATCACTTCGGGTGACTGACCACAACCGGGGTCTGTTCCCCAAGCTGAGAGGTGGAGAAACGGGAATGTATCAGTTCTCCCAGAGATGAGCAGGTTCTCCGGAGAAATTAGGGTAAGTTTCATAAACTGAAGCATAAACCAGAAAGCCTCCTTACTGACTTAAAGGGGTATCAATTTCCAAAGAGCCGAACACCTCCATCTTCCATCCAAGGCTGTGCCCCCTCCCTTCCCCATTCCCAGAAGCTGCAGGGTTAATCAGAAGTGAGCTTGGCTTTCCCAAGTGGCTGCTGAAGATGGCGGAGGGGCAGGTCCTGGTACTCGGCGGCCGAGGCCATCTCCTGGGCCACTGAGCAGCCATTGTGGCCCAGCAGGTGCTTCTGGGCCAGAAGGTGGTGGTCATGCACTGTGAGGGCATCAACATTTCTGGCAATTTCTACAGAAACAAGTTGAAGTACCTGGCCTTCTGCTACAAGCTCATGAACACCAGCCCTTCCTGTGGCCCCTACCACTTCCAAGCCCACTGCCGCATCTTCTGGCGGACAGTGCGAGGCACGCTGCCCCACAAGACCAAGCGAGGCCAGGCCGCCCCGGACTGCCCCAAGGTGTCTGATGGGATCCTGCCACCGTATGACAAGAAAAGGCGGATGGTGGTTCCTGTCGTCCTCAAGGTCGTGCGTCTGAAGCCCACACGGAAGTTTGCCCACCTAGGGCGCCGGGCGCAGGAGGTTGGCTAGAAGCACCAGGCAGTAACAGCCACCCTGGAGGAGAAGAGGAAGGAGAAGGCCAAGACCCATTACCGAAGAAGCAGCAGCTCACGAGGCTACAGAAGCAGGCCAAAAAGAACAGAGGGGAAAGCTGACAAATCTGCAGAGGTCCCCAAGACCCACGGACTGCTAGTCTGAGCCCAGTAAAATTGACTCTTTATTCTTCACACTTGGCCTGGCCTGCCCTTCCTCCATTGCCACCATAGGATGTGGGGACACTAAAGGGACCCTAGTGCTGCTTAGGAAAGGCTATTTTTTCATTCTTTCATTCATTCAGGGATTTCATTTTATTTACTGTCTTCCATTCAAATGGAAATTCAGCTAGATGTAGCCTAAGCCAAAATGAGATAATTCCCTGGTTTGCATTTCCAGAAGGGAGAGGGAGGAGCTGGCCTCATGGACAACACTACCTGTGCCATATTTATTTAGGAAAAGCCATTTAAAACTGGACAGAGAGAGCTCTAAAGGGTGTGCAGGCATAGTTGGCCTGTGGCCGACTCATCTGGGACAGAACCACCAGCGTGGCGTCAGGACCAGTAACGAGGGGCTGGGAGACTGACAGCAAGGGGCCCCTTTTCAAACCCCCCACAGGGCGGTTACTATGCTGCACGGCTGTTAGGACCAGAGCGAATGCTTGGGCAGCAGGAGTCTGGAGTCTACAGATGTGTTTATGGAAAGAAAGTGCCACCAGGGGGTCACAGGCCTCACCCTTGTGACTTCCCTCTATTCTGTAATCCAAAGCTAGTAAGTTATTTTTAACAGAAAAAGAAAAAGTGAGTTTGGTGAGTGTGGAGAGGAGCTGAAGTCTGGAGGGACATTCCATGCTGGCACGGGGGGGCCAGAAAATGCTCGCCCCTGATGCCTGGACTGGCCCCACCTCCATTCAGCCTCTCCCTCCTTGACAGCCCAGAGCCCCACAATGCCGAGTTTGCTTCTCAGACTCTCCAACAAAAGCCATGACAACAAACAGGACAGTTCATTGAACAAAGCTTCCGATGTGCTCAGCACTGTGTAGACATCATCAGATTTTGTCCTCCCAACCACATTAGGAGGTAGGCTTCACTTTAGGGGTGAGGAAACTGAGGTTCACCACATCCTGAGAAGACCCCAGGAACTGTCAACAGCAAAATTAAAATCTTTAAATATCTTCCCACTGGTTCAGAAGAGAAACAAACCCATCAGCACAGGCTGCAAAGCCCCACAGCCTGGGCTCAGGACCCATCACCCACCTGCACTCACGTCAACATTGGGTTCACTAGGGGATGATTAAAAATGTGATGTGGTATTGGAAATCCTAGCCATAGCAATCAGACAAGAAAAATAAGTAAAAGGGATCCAAACTGGAAAGGAAGAGGTCAAATTGTCACTAAATGCAGATGACATGATACTATACATAGAAAACCCTAAAGACTCCACACAAAACAACTAGAGCTGATAAACGAATTCAGCAGGGTAGCAGGTGACAAGATTAACAGACAGAAATCTGTTGCACTTCTTTACACTAACAATGAAATATCAGAAAAGGACAGGGGAAAAATAATCCCTTTTAAAATTGCATCAAAAAACAAAAATACTTAGGAATAAATCTGACCAATAAGGAGAAAGACTTATATGATGAGAACTATAAACCACTGATGAAGGAAATTAAAAGTGATTTAAAGAAATGAAAAGACATCCCATACTCTTGGATTGGAAGAATTAATATTGTTATAATGGCCATACTACCCAAAGCAATCTACAGATTTAATGTGATCCCTGTTAAATTACCTAGGACATTTTTCACAGCACTAGAACACATTATCCTAAAATTTATGTGGAATCACAAAAGACTCAGAATTGCCAGTGCAACACTGAAGAAAAAGAACAAAGCTGGAAGCATAACCCTCCTAGATTTCAGATGATAGTACAGAGCTACGATAATCAAAACAGCATGGTATTGGCACAAAAACAGACATATGGATTAATGGAACACAATGGAGAGACTAGAAATAAACCCACAGGCCTACGGTCAATTAATCTTTGACAAAAGAGACAAGTATATACAATGGAGAAAAGATAGTCTCTTTGGCAATTGGTGTTGGGAAAGCTGGACAGCTGCATGTAAATCAATGAAGTTAGAACACTCCCTCACACCATGCACAAAAATAAAATCAGAAGGGCTTAAAGACTTAAACACAAGATAGGACATCATAAATCTCCTAGAAGAGAACATAGGGAAAACATTCTTTGTCATAAACATAAATAAAGCAATGTTTTCCTAGGTCAGTCTCCCAAGGCAATACAAATAAAATAAAAAATAAATGGGACCTAATTAAACGTATAAGCTTTTGCACAGCAAAGGAAACCATAAACAAAAAGCAACCTAGGGATTGGGAGAAAATATTTGCAAATGATAAGACTTACAAAGGCTTAACTTCCAGAATATACAAACAGCCCACACAACTCAATAACAAAAACACAAACAATCCAATCTGAGAGTGGGCAGAAGACATAAACAGACATTTCTCAATGAAGACATACAAATGGCCGTCATTAAAAACTCCACATATAACTGAATGACTATGCTGTACATCAGAAACTAACACAACATTGTAAATCAACTATATTTCAATTAAAAAAAAATAATGTGGTTGCACCATTTCCCAAGCCTCTGCCTGGACTCCTTGGATGGTTAGAGATAATGTTAAGCAACACAACAGAGTATTTAGAAGCCCTTCTAAGTGTTTTGCAGCTTCTTAGAAGAACTTTAATGTACATTTATTTACTTCATCTGTAAACTATCCTATGAAATAGATACTACTAGTAATCTATTTAATAGATAAGGTGATTGGCATATAGATAGGGTAATAAACTCACCCAAATGTCATTCACCCTGTAAGTGGTGGAGCGGGGTTTGAATCCGAATAATCAAGTCAGGAGCCAGATATCGCATCTGTCCATGGACACCTTCCAGGGTCAGGGCCCAGGTCCTGAATTTTGGTGCTTGTTTTTTTTTCTGAAAACAGGCTGCTGAGGCCTGACTTCCACCTGTCGTCAGAGAAGAGAGCAACTACGTGGGTCCACGGCCAGGTCCTTCAGAAAGTCGCTGGGTCTGGGTTAGGACCCTGCAGGTTTGATTCCTGTCTATGAACTCAGACTCCACTTCCGCCCAAAGAAAACAAAGGAAGGAAGGTCAGCTTCAACCTCCTGTTCTCTAGAAATCCTACCCTACCCACAGGAACATCTTGCTTGAGATGGGTTTCATAATGAGAGGAAAGGCAGCCTTCATTTCTCAATAAGAACATTAAACTCTTGTCAAATGGAGGTCAATATTGAGCCATGAAAAACCACCTAAGACAATGTGCATGGCTATGGCTGTGTGTGGGTTTAAGTGTGTGCAGCAATCATTCTCAGCAAAGGGGAAGGCCACAGACTGGCATAGCTCACAGGTGGAATGATCTTAGAGGAAAGTGGAGGATTCTGAAATCGGAGGCCAGGCCCACTGCCTCCCAGGACTGCATGGATCCTGACAGCCCACAGAATCCCGCTGGGAGCACTGGAGGGCAAACCCGCCTCTTCCCAGGCCCCTTGTGAGGGGCCTTCCCCTATGTGTGTGGACACTGGGCCTGTATATTCAAGCTCGGCCATGGCTTTTGCAAAAAGCTGCCACTTGGCCACCATTTGGGCCTACTCAAGACCGCTGTCACCTTCAGGAGGAGGAACCCTGGAGAGAGGCCCTGGGAGCAGACTCATGGCCATTTGGGTTGGGAATTCCACAGACAGTCCCAGGTACCCAAGCGTGGTCTAGAAGAGGGGTGGGCCTTCTCCTTGGCCCGCAGATTCTCTGCCCTGTGTGGAGGGACACCTCCAGAGCACGGCCTTCTACCATGAGGCCCAGGGCAGAGGCGCCTCCAATCTGGGTCTAAGGAGGATACCACTCTCTTGTTGTGAAACTTGGAGCACATTAGCTAATCTCTCTGTTCCTTGTTTCCCACATTTGTAAAAAAGGAAATCACTGCAGTAAGGAATAAGTGAGGAATAAGGTAGCTTAATCAGTATGGGTAAAACCCTTAGAACAGTGCTGGGCAAATAGCAAGGGTTATGTAAATGCCATCAATTAAGTGTAATTATTACTCGTACTTAGTCAGGCACCCTCAAAGCTGTTAACAGACTCAATGCTGCCAAAAGACTCATTTCTTGACTGGTGATGGGCAAGAGCTCTTCCTGGAGACCTGGAGAATTCCAGAAGCCAGGCACTCTGGCAGCCTGGTCTGCCCTCAGGCCAGAGCATATAATAGAACAGAAATTTTGGAAAGGCAGGAACAGGAGGGAGCGGAAAGGGTGACAGCATCGGCTAATTCATTCAAAAAATATGTCTTGGGCGGGCACTTTTCCAGGCCCCAGGTAACCGGAGTGCGCAAGACAGACAAGGTGCCTGCCTTCATTCACCATACCTTCTTGGGGCAGGGGGAGGGGAGAGAAGAAAGCTATTTAACAAGAAAGCAAATAAATAAACAAGATCATTACAGATAGAGAAAGGAGAGTGAAAGCAATCAAACAGGGTGAATGGCGCGTGAATGACTAGCGAGGGGAGGTGAGGGGCGCTACTTTCTGTAGGATGCTTAAGAAGGCCTCTCTGAGGAGGGGATGTTAAACTGTGACCTGCTCAATGAAGAGGGACTGGCTGCTTAATGATCAGGAAAAGGTGTTCCAAGAAAAGAAAATGGCTAGTGCAAAGGCCCTGAGGTCCTCATGTGCTTGACATAATGTAAACAGAGAGACTTGTGTGGCTTAAAAGTAATTCACAAAGGGAAGAGTAATAGGAGACAGAAGTCAGAAGGGTAGAAGGGGCCCAGATCATGCACTTCTCAAAACTGAGCATGCCTAAGCATCATCTGGGGATCTTGTTAAAGTTCTGATTCAGAAGGTTGGAAGTGGGGCCTGAGATCCTGCCTTCTTAACATGCTCCCAGGTTAGGCCAGTCCCACTGGTCCGTGGACCACTCTTTGAGAAGCGAGGCTCTCGGCAACAGAATTCATCGTAACTACATTCAGAAGACTTTAAATGACCTTAAGCTGGAACATGACTTGATTTGGCTGTATTTTTAAAGCTTGCTCTGGCTGTAGGGTGGAGAATGGAAAAGTGAATGCTGGACACCAAGTGGGAAGCAAATAAGTGGATGGAGGGCAAGTCAACGAGCCTGGCTAACTGATTGGATGGAGCATGCCTCCTAGGTGTGGGGCCAGAGCAAGGAGTTGGGGTGACACCTTACTAACTTGGCCAAGGCTGGTGGGGGGGGATAGGGCTTATAAAGACAACCCACAGTTTGTTTGGCTCTGCTGGATCTGAGATGACACTCACATGTAAAGTGGAAATATGAGTCAGAAAGTGAATCTGGGGTTGAAAATAAAAATTTAGGAGCATTGTTTTGCAGATGATATTTAAAAGGCCCAAGAGTGGATGGGACTGCTCATAGAGAAAGTGTAGGAGATACGGAAGAGAGCAGTTCCTAACATGGGAGGGTGTAGGATGGTGAAGAGCCAGGAAAGCAGCCTGAGAAGGAAGCACTGGCGAGGTAGGAGGAGAGCAAGGGGAGGACCCCCCAAGATGTCCACACCTCATCCATGGAAATTGTGAATGCATCACATCACCTGATGTGGCAAAAGGGACTCTCTGATGCAATTAAGATTAAAGACCTTGAGATGGAGAGATTATCCTGGATTATCTGGGTGAGCCCAATCTTACCCCGGAATCTTTAAAAATGGAAAAGAAACGTAGAAGAAGGGGTCAGAGAAATACGATCATGGAAGAGGCAGAAAGATGTGAAACACAAGAGGGGCTTGTCCCACCACTGCAGGCTTTGAAGATGGATGACCCTAGGAACGTGGTATCCTCTGAACGCTGGGAATGACACTCTGCTGACAGCCAAGACGTAGGACGTCAGTCTTCCAACTGCAGGGAATTAATTTTGCCAACAACACGAAGGAGCAAGAAAACAGATTCTCCCCTAGGGCCCCCAGGAGGGAACACAGCACTGCCAGCACCTTGATGTTAGCCAGTGATACAAGTGTTGGGCTCCTCATGGATGGAAATGTACTATAGCAATTTGGTGCACTGTTGGAAACCACTAAGCCTGTGACATTTTGTTACTGCAGCAGTAGAAAATGGATGTATGTGGTTTCAACTAAAAGCCCAAAGAAGAAAGTGCTTCGCGAAAGAGGGAGTCAAAGGGTGTAAGTGAGAGGAAGGCAGGCGGGGCGCTGCACCCGGCGACGCGGAGGGCAGTTGATGGGCAGTTTCAGCCTCGCGGTGAGACCAGAAACCTGACCCGAAAGGCTTGAGGGGTGCAGGGCGGGGTGAGGAAGCGGAAGCGGCGAACACAGACAACTCTGTTGTAACGTTGGGTCGTGAAGCTAAGGAAGGAAACGGGACCGTATAGGGAGGAGGGTGTAGGTCCATCCAGGCGTTTTGCTTTGTGGGTTTCGGTGGCAGCCAGAAAGCATGTTTGCTGAAGGAATCGATCTAGTACCGAGAAAGAGGCTTGCGGGGGCGGGTGGACGGGATCGCGAGCAAAGGTCAGGAGCCACGAGCCGGGCGACCCCGAGCGCACGTGGAGGGGTTGGGGTTATTCGGGGTTGTGGGTGGGAAGGGCTGGAAGGGAGACTGAGAAGATGAGCACAGGGGCACGGGTTTTGCAGTTTGACGGTGGGAGGAAAAGGCCCGTCTGATGGCTTCTATTTTGTCATCAAAATAACTGAAGTGAGGTCTCACATAAGGGTCGCGGTGGGAGCGTGGGAGGAGGCCGAGAGAGACGTGGTGGAGGTTTGAGAGAGAAAAAGGTAGAAAATGGTTTCTCTTACAACGCGGGAAACCACCTGACCACGGAAGCGGGGGTGGAGGGCGGGGTGTTGCTCCAGGAAGGAAGGGGCCCTTGCTTCTCTTACTTCTCCTCCTGGCACCGGGGCTGTGGATGGGCTGTGGGGTCCAGGATGGACTCCGGAGTATGTTCCTCACTGTGATGCCTATAACCTGGAGCAACAGTCTTAGCCTGCCTGAGCCTCAGCTCTGCTTCAGCACTGTCATCAGGCTGGCCCCGCCTGCTCCCATTAAAGGAGGTGGCATGTGCCGAAGTGTTTCGTGGACTGTCAGCCCTGTCCGAGCGTGAAACGCGTTCTTGCATTATGGGCGGGGCCCAGCTTCTGATTCCTGGCCAGGGAAGGTGGCGATCCCCTGAAGGCTGGAGCTGAGTGTAGGGGAGGGTGCCCGTCTAGCAGCAGCCTCCACACTCTGAGGTCACTCCCTTCCAAAGATGAGCAATTCCTTCCACCTCCACCCAGTCCCAGGAGGCCTGAGAAGCTCAGGCTTGAGTTTGCTCTCCTGGTACCTGGAGCAAAGGGGGTAAAAATCCGTGCTGGGCTCCCTCTCCTGGGGGAGCTCCTCCAGCCACACTATCTGCAGCTGTCACCCAGCTGGTTCTGCCCTGTTGTTTTGTGAATGTCTGCTTTCTAGGGTAGCCCCAGAGTGACAGTAACTCTTCCAATTCAGGTTCCCTGCGAAAGCTGTCTGGTGGATTAGGACATGTCATGTAGGGGGTTTGGAGAAGGGCTACTTTACATAAATTAGATAAATAAACCTCATTGTGAACAAACAAGGGAGCTTTCTCCCAGTGGAATTCAGGGAGCACAGGGCAAGAGGACCTTGACCAGCCAAGGTCAGACACAGGTCAGCTGAGGGCCTGCGGGTCCAAATCAGGTCTATTTGACTCCAAGCTCATTTTCCCCCTATCCTATAACACTGCCTCCCAGGATCCAACAAGCCTGCCTGCTTCCCAGGAAAGGGAAGAAGAGGGAAGGTGCCAGCATTCACAGAGTACTTGCATACCAGGGGTCATGCTTCTGTCCTGGCGCTCTTTGTAGTAGGGGAGGGGGAAAGGTGCACACCTGGATGGCTGTGAGTCCTCAGTGTAACAGGGACAGAGGCTCTTTTGTGATTAACCACTGGCAATCAGAGGTCTATAGAAAACGAGGATGCTCCGGCATGGAAGCCAG